AGGACCCTGCTCATGGGACAGAGAGGCCTGTGCCCTGCAAGTCTGGGTAACCGGCAGGTTTCTTAGAAGCTGACTCTTCAGCTAATCATGGCCATGTGCTCTGAACTCTGAGAGAGATCTGTGGCCTGCAGTTCCACCTGGGGCATTCTTAGCCACATGAGACATCAACTGGACAGGTGCCACCCCGTATTTCTCTCCTTGGAGCATCCTACTAGCAGGGAGATACTGTGAGCCAACACGATCATGGACCAAACACCAGAGAGAAAGAGCACTGTGGTTACCTTAGAGGCCATGGGGACACTGTGGGGGCCTGGGGTATGTGTTTACAGGGGCAAGGGTGACATGATCTGTCTAGGGCAGGCCAGGCTTCCTAAGGGCCACCTAGGGACCCGAGAGGGCAGATGTGGGGCTGCTGGGGCACGTGTGAAGATGGTGCAGGGCTCACCAGGACGTCTGGTCCTTCTGATTGTGTAGTTACTTACTCAGCCTCAAACTGGTTGGGAGTGATGATGTCTGCCACGGGCACCACTTTCTCCCTGTACACGGGAAGGAGGTCCTGGGGGACGTACTGGAGAGCACAGGAGACAAAGAAGGAGATCACTCACACGGAAGGAGAGCCCAGGAGAGGAATGCTCCCAGCCCAAATCCTGTGGGGAGACCTGGCATCCTCACCAGGAAAGGGACACAGCTGGGGACCCACAGGGACTGGGACACAGAAGGGTGTTCCCAAGTAAGAGAAGTGCCTGGGGCAGGAAGGGGAGGCCTCAGCTCACCACAACCAGAAGGGAGGACCGTAAGTAGGGAGCTAAGACAGAGGACCCCCACCGGATGACTGGAGGCAGCCTCGGGCCATCAGGACCTGCTAGATGGTGCTGGGCCGACCTGGCTCTGGTAGCCTGAGTCTTGGGGCTGGGACTGGCATAAACTGAAGAAGAGCTAAGAATAGAGTAGACCACTTGCACAGCCCAACCCCTAGACTCGGGCCTGACTGTGACATCCAAAAAGGCCCTTATACAACGGAGTTCGGTGAATGGAACACACGCCAGTTTGGCCCTCTGCACATAAACAGAATAAAACTCATCATGTGAGCTACAAAATTTCTTGCTTGTTGGAACCTAACACATTATCTTGAATCTGGCTAGTGGTTCTCGACTTTCCTAATGCTGCTCCATTTTAATATAGTTCCTCATGATGTGGTAGCCCCAGCTATAAAATTATTATCACTGCTGCTTCATAACTGTAATTTTGCTACTGTTATGAATTGCAATATAAGTATCTGATCTTATATTGCAGGAGATCTGATCTAGGCCCTCCGGGGAAAGTTATTTAATCAAAACCAGGACACATCACAGCGACACTGAGCCCGAAGGAGAGCTCTTCAGGACCCAAACACCAGCGTCTCTAGGTCGGCTGGGGACATGGCAGCAAGCAGTGTCAGGAAGAAAGGAGGGGTCTGGTGCAGGGAACCTTCCAGAAAATAGGCACTGGAGAAAGCAGATGAAAAACAGCCACTGAGCAAACCAGACACTGGTCCAGTCACTGCCACCGGCCTCCACTGGGAGAGCAGGGCGGAAAGGACGCTGGTCCTGGTGAGTCCTGTACTGGTGTGGACCGTGTGTGGCCGGCTGTGCCCAGGGAATTCACAGTGAGTAACACATGAGTCAAAAGCCACAAAGGAGGCAAACGCCAGGGTGGTCTGTGTGTTAAAACGCTGACTTTGAAGCTTTAGGCCTCTGAGTTGAGGCTCCCATCTCCACAGTCTGAGGTGTGTGAGACCAGTTTCACTCGTGGATTGTGACCCACCCACTGTCCAGTTTTGAACAGCTGGGGAGCTCAGAGTGACTTCCTCATTGTTAAATGCACAAGGGGAAACTAAATCGAAGAAAAAACATATACATGAGAAGGTGATCTGGCTGTGACATCTGTCACCACAGTGATCTGCAGTGTGGACAGGCTGACATGGCTGGTGAGGCGTCCCCTGCCTCCTTGACTGCTTCACATGCATCCCTCCTGAGACTACAGAGAGGACGCCTCTCCTGGATGGAGGAGCACTGTCCTGCAGTCCAGGGCAAATGGCTAGCCTTCTCTCCTGCAAGAGCCTCCAAACCAAAAAAATAGTTTTTTGAGAAAAACCATTTGCAACAGGAGAAACTTGGGACATTGACCTTCAGTGTCCACACCTGGAGCTTTATTAGACAGCTTGTCCATGGCTGACAGACTGTCTATGGTACACACCCTAATGCCTGTCGTCCATTTGACCAACTTCCTAACAGGGGTGTCTCAGCCTTGAATGGGGGTCACGCTGGTTGACCCGGGAAGGTTGACCTTCTCTTTGGTTCAAAGCAGATGCACAGACCACACGTTTAACAGCAGCGTGGGTACACTCACCATGGAGCCTTCGCCGTTCCACTTGTCGCCCATCACGGGATCACACACTGTGGGGACACAGCATCTGGTCAGCAGCTGCTACAGCTTCCAAGGACAGACCTCCACACTGTTTGCTTTCTCACTGTGTAGCCCAGGCTAGCCCTGGACTCTCAATCTTCTTGCCTCAGCCTCCCATGTAGCTGGGAAAGCAGGCATGCACACCACACATGCCTCCATATCTAACTCTTGTTCTAACTGCCTGAGTGTGTGCCTGCATGTATGTACATGTACCATGTGTGCAGGTGCCCAGGAGTTCAGAAAAGGGCAGGAGATCCCCTGTAGTGGGGTTTACAGGCAGCTAGGAGCCACCAGAGTGGGTGCTTGGAACTGAACTCGTGGCTTCTGCAAGGAGTACACACCCTTAACTGACGACAGGTTCTCTCAATTTGCCCTGGCTGGCTTTGAACCCACTATGTAGATGGGATGACCCTGAACTTCTGACCCTCCTAGTACTAGGATTAGAGGTGTACACCTGCACATTCGGTTCATGTGGTGAAGAGGCTTTATCTTTCCCGGGGTGCTTCATGTATGCTAGGCCAGCACTCGACCAACTGAGCCACACCCCTATAATTTTTTTTAACATTACATACACGTGCAGACACAGGACAATTTTGTGCCCTAGCACTTTGAACTTCTCTGTCCAAGACAACTAGGTCCCCGGGACAGTTTCACATATAACTTACCATCATCATTCACACCTTCTTCTCAAGAACACATTATTACCTCAGGTCACCTGGACTGGCATAGTGCCCTCCCCCCTGGCCTGGCTGAGACTAGTAACCCAGGTTTCACGTATCTTCCCAGGTTCAGGCACATTCCCTTTGGACCACAGTCCACTGCATGGACAAAGCAATGTGCCATTGGCCTTTGGGCAGGACACACTGCACACCCGGAAGACTGGTGTTCAGGCTGCTCCACGTGGCACATGGATGGACCCAGGGCTGCCTGGCAGCCACAGTGCCACTCTCCACGCAAACTGGATATGGTGTGTCACCCCATCCCCTACCCACTAGTTTGGCCCAGCCTGGGGTATCAACCCAACCTACATCCTCTTTAGGGTCAGACCTCACACATCTTGGGCACCCCAGGCCTTCACACATACTAACCGTCTCTTCCTATGCACCTCACAAGAAACCCTATAGTCACCTTGAAGAACTTCTCAATTCCCCTGCTGAGCCTGCCCTCAAGACTCACTCCTCCTCTGAGGTCCCATAAGTCAAATAACTAATAGGTAAAGGCCAAACAGGCGGCGAGGAAGCCAGAGACAGTTTGCTGAGCTGTCCTGTCCTGAGGGTATGATCAGCATGGGACACAGTGGAGAAGGGGCATCATGGTCCAGCTCTCACCGTACACGAGCCGGGGGTTCTGCTGCTTCAGCTCCCGTACGATGTCCACCACCATGGCCAGGAAGGACTTGTCTCTCGTGTAACCTTGGGAAGGAAAATCCAGGTTTATCCTCTCAAAACAGGACACACTGACCACCAGGGCATCTATCTGCCCTAATAAGAGCCATCAAGCATGCATCGGCCTCGGGGCAGACCAAGGAATACACAAGGTCTCCGTTAGTCTGTACTCACGGAGGGGAGGACAGGCAGCTCCCAGGGACATGAGTTTTGACTGACAGATAACTTGCAAATTTTCCACTCTCAACAAAACATACCACTTTAAAAAAATATTTAATTTATATGTGCGCCTGAGTGTATGCCTGTGCACCATGTGTGTGCATGAGTGCTTAGAAGTCAGATGACGGTGTCAGAGACCCTGGAGCTGGAGTTACAGGCAGTTGTGAGCTGCCATGTGGGTGCCGAGGACTGAGCCTGGGCCCTCTACAAGAGTGGTAAGTGCCCTTAACCACTGAGCCATCTCTGCAGCTTCTGTGTCTCTAAAATGTTTTATTCAGGGGCTGGAGAGATGGTTCAGCAATTAAGAACACTGGCTACTCTTCCAGAGGTCCTGAGTTCGATTCCCAGCACTCACGTGGCAGCTCACTCCAGTCTAAAATTGTAGTCCCAGGGGATCCAATGCCCCTTTCAGTTGAGCAGATGTATATGCAGACAAAACACCGATATAAAAATACATAAATACATGGTTATCTAATTTTTTTATTTTTGGAAGCAAGGTCTCACTATGAAGCCTTGGCTCACCTGGAACTCCCTCTGTAGACTAGGCTGCCCTCAAACTCACAGAGCTCCATCTGCCTCAGTGTTGAGATTAAAGATGTGTGCCACCACACCCAGGTAAAACATGGCACTTTAATTGGCTTGAGTTGGAGGCCAGCCTGGTCTACAGTGCAAGTTCCAGGGCAGCCAGGGCAACCCTGTCTCAAAACATACAAACAAACAAACAAACAACAAATTCAACTAAATTAGGGCCAGTGTGATGGTGTACTGAATAGGGATGCTTGCTGCTATGCCTAAAAACCTCTGAGACCCACAAGGTGGAAATACCTCTGCACCCATGCTGTGGCACTGTGTATGCACAATTGTGTGGATATGGACATACATAAATACAACAAATCAGTAAATAGATTCAAAATGTAGAGAATACAACCAGAAACGTTATGTTTCTGTTATCAGATGAACTCATGGAGTGTTTCACCATCAACCCAGGGCGGCAGGGCTCTAACGGCCTCCAGAATGTGTCGGTGCCTAGTGTACACCAAGACCCCCTGAGAAAGAGGCAGGGAGCAGGCCTCAGCCTAGGGAGGGGAATCTGTGCTTGACCTGTCACCAGCAGGCTGGGGACCCTCACCAGTGAGCACGTAGTCGTACTTATTCACACTGTTTATCTTGAGGCCTTCGTACAGCTCATGGAGTTCCTGTGAATTCAGCACTTGGCCCTTCCAATGGGCGTAGCCTGCAGGAAGAAAACAGGCTAAGCTGTGGGTGTGGGAGCCCCAGGTTTCCCTGGTGACCATCTCAGCTGATGACAACCACCTACCCCCCTTGAGGAGATCCAGTGAACAGTTCTTCTGAAGGCTGGCCTTAGGCACAGACTGGGCCCAGTGCCTCAGTGGCATCCCAATACCCTATAAGCACCCCTGTTCCTGCACTGTGGGGGATGAAGAGTGGTCTCCACCCTACCATGCCTAGTTTCTATCACATCAGTCTAGGGCAGCAGGCGCTCACTGTCCTAGGTAGCTCTGTGGAACCGTGTCCCAGAAGATGTGGATAGGGACACCAGGGCACACAGCTGTTTACTTCCGCATTCAACGGGAGCAGCTGAAGGCAGACCACCCAACCCCTCTCCTTAGCCTGAGGTAACGCCATAGTGGAAAAGCAAACAGACATGCAGGTCACCAGCTGTCAGCAGGGGGACACGGCAGCACACCCTGTGATTTACCTGGGCAGCTCTGCTACCACAGGAAATGCTATGGCTGCCATCTTAGCAGAGAGGGAAACTGAGGCACAGAGACTTTCCCACCAGTCAGCTCCAGAACAGGGGTCACACACACCAGCCATGGTGTGGGGGCAGACCCTTCACAGAGTGGCACTTCTGGGTTCCATCCCCCGCCACAAGCAGTGGCACCTACTTCCCTCAGGGCCAGGTTACACACCATGCTGACTTCCACCATGACTACCACCCGAAGGACCTACCTGTGTGGTTGGAAAACTGCACAGAGTTCACGGCATCAACCTCAAATCCCAAAACCTGCAAGACAAGGACAAGAGGTGTGAGAGTGCCTGTCTGTGACCCCAAGAA